TACATATGTACGCATTACTTTGCCCGTTTTGATCATACTCTTGTTCTTGGATGATAAGCTATTTCGTCATAAAATAAATGTAACGCACTAAAGGTGACATCTTCGACTGAAATATATGTGTGAAAGCAATTAAATAATTACATTTTTACATTTATTATAGTTTAGAATAGATGATGAAACAATAAAAAATGTTTCGAAATGGCTAGACTCGACGCAAGAAGTTAATTATCATGCACGAATGGTCCTAAACAAGGTAAGAAATCCATTTCCACTATTTCAACGTTAATTGAAACAGATCGTACACTATCTTTTCTTTTCATAATTTGTAATATTAAGGTATAACTAGTGAACAACTAATACTATATAAAAATAAAAAATAAGTATACTTTTGTTTTAATTTTATTATGGGCGTTCCTGGTTCAAGATTGATTGGGGCTTATATCAAGCATAAATTAATCTCCTACCAATATTAAGGTATACTTGAAATATGATCAGAAAATCTTGTTTAAAGACTGAATTGGTCTTAAATAAAGACCAAAATGTGATTAATACAAGTATTTTAGGTCATAATTTTGTATGATTTAAGTTTGTTAGCTGTTGAATCAAGATTTATATAAACTTATTTCAATCTTAAACTGGGATTTTCTTAAGGACATATTGGTCTTATATTAAGAGTCTTCAAAACTTGATTCAATACTATTCCGTTCTTAAATTCAGCCTAATAAGGCTGAAAACGTAACAAACAAAGCTTGATTCAAGTATTTTCGTACTTAAAAATTAATACTTGAAATAAGAATTACATACTTGAATCCAGTATTACCGGTCTTACCGTACTTTTATGACCAGGTTGACTTGATTCAAGTACGAAATTCTTGATTTTTTCTCTCTGTGTACGGACGGACAGACGGACATGGCTAGATCGACTATATATTCTTTATGGAGTCGGAGATGCTTCCTTCTGCCTGCTACACACATTTGCACAAATACATTATACCCTTTTTAGCCATGTAAATGTAAATCTTACGTTGTGCATTATTCTGTAATGGGCTCAGATAAGCGGAAAAATCATTTAGTCCCAGCTTTAAAGCTTGTGGGTACAAGGTAAACAAATGTATCTTTTTTGAGGATGATCACTCATTCGTTTTATTAATTAATTAATAAGTTAAAACACAACTGGCTCATAGATTTAATATCTTCATTGAAGCAACAAAAAATTTCAGAATATAAAAGAGAAGAGTCAATGGTGCAGCAGACATGGCAAATTGGAATATTATTAAGACGACGTGAATAACAACAATTGCAAATATTCTAATAAACAAAGGGTTTGTAAAGATATATTGAATAACAAAATTGTGTTCCTTACAAGAACCTACTTTTGGACCGATCGTTTTTATAGTAGAAATATGACATAGTGGTTCGATATGACCAATTCCGGCCGCAAGACGGACCTATTCAAAGTTTTAAGACGACAGCCTTAAAACTGAGAACAGTTTATATAGAAGCAGAGAGACAGACATGCTTAAATTGACTCAGCTGTTGTTGCTGATCAAGAATATAAATACTCTACTAGCGGGTGCAACCCGGCCTTGCCCGTGTTGTAAAATCAATTTTTTCAAAAAGCTTTGAAAATGATTTTGAAACTGATCGGACGGGAATCAAACAACTTTTATGTAAATCGGACAAAACTTAAAATTCACCAAAAAAATCTTTGAAATGCATTTTCCACCGGAGAAGTTTAGATTTTGCGAAAAACGTGAAACGCGTCTTAAATGATTTTTCTTTTAGATGTTTGGAAATAAATTTGAACACAAAACGTCATCCACCAAATCTTCGACCCCCATTTGCACCAAGGAGGGATGGATTTTTCAAAAAGTGTGCAACACCCCTCAAATGAATTTGAACAAAGATCTTTGAAAATAAGTTTGGGGCCGATCGGATGGTAAACAAAAAACTTTCATACAACCGTTTTCCGCCAATTTGCCACTGTTGCGAGTGGAATTTCCCAAATCGCTGAAATACGTATTCATTAAGTTCTTATGTAGAGCTTTGAAAATAAGTTTGAAGCAAATCGGACATAACTTAAAACTTCGCCCAACAAATCTTTAAGTCGCATTCCCCCCGAAGATGTTTGAATTTTCGGAATGTGTGAAATACGTCTCAAATGAATTTTCTTATAGATCTCTGGAAATGAATTTGAGCGCGAAAAGTCACCCACCAAATCTTTGTCCTCCATTTCCACCAAGGAGGAATGGACTTTCCTAAAAGTCTGAAACACCCCTCAAATGAATTTGAACAAAGATCTTTGAAAATAAGTTTGAGGCCGATCGGATGGTAAACAAAAAAGTTACATGCAAACGTTTTTCGCGATTTTTCCACACTTGCGGGTGGAATTTCCCGAAACCCTGTCTTAACGTGCACCCACATCACATAACGCAACTACAGTGAAAATTTCAGCTTCCTAGCTCTTACGGTTTGGGCTGTACGTTGATCACCAATCAGTCAGTCAGTCAGTCAGCCAGCCAGTCAGTCAGCCAGGACAAACAGTTTTATATATAGAGATTAGCGGGTATAACCCGGCCTTGCCCGTGGCACGTATATTATAAAATCAATGTATTCAAAAAGCTTTGAAACTGATCGGACGGGAATCAAACAACTTTTATGCAAATCGGACAAAACTTAAAATTCACCAAAAAAATCTTTGAAATGCATTTTCCACCGAAGGAGTTTAGATTTTGCGAAAAATGTGAAACACGTCCCAAATGATTTTTCTTATAGATCTTTGGAAATAAATTTGAACACCAAATCTTCGACCCCCATCTGCACCAAGGAGGAACGGATTTTTCATAAAGTGTGATACACCCCTCAAATGAATTTGAACATAGATCTTTGAAAATAAGTTTGGGGCCGATCGGATGGTAAACAAAACACTTTCATACAACCGTTTTCCGCCAATTTACCACTGTTGCGGGTGGAATTTCCCAAATCGCTGAAATACGTATTTATTAAGTTCTTATGTAGAGCTTTGAAAACAAGTTTGAAGCAAACCGGACTCAACTTAAAACTTCGCCCAAAAAATCTTTAAGTCGCATTCTCCCCGAAGAAGTTTGAATTTTCGAAAAGTGTGAAACACGTCTCAAATGAATTTTCTTATAGATCTCTGGAAATGAATTTGAGCGCGAAAGTCACCCACCAAATCTTTGTCCTCCATTTCCACCAAGGAGGAATGGACTTTCCCGATCGGATGGTAAACAAAAATGTTACATGCAAACGGGATTTTTCCACACTTGCGGGTGGAATTTCCCGAAACCCCGTCTTAACGTGCACCTACATCACATAAGGTAACTACAGTGAAAATTTCAGCTTCCCAGCTCTTACGGTTTGGGCTGTGCGTTGATCACCAATCAGTCAGTCAGTCAGTCAGTCAGTCAGGACAAACAGTTTTATATATGTATAGAGATTGGGTCAGACATGTCTCTTTCTTGTGCTACACATTTCATGACAATATTATAATTTTCTCTTTAAGCGTATATGAAGTGAGAAGAGTTTTCCGATATCGCTTAATCTTGAGGCTTTCTTAATTTACTTAAAAAATATATTTAAGTTTTGGAGACAAACCATACCACTTGCCAATCTCAAGCAATTATATCATATCTCTACGAAACAATAAATCGGAAACGGAGATTTTGTTTATGCTTAATAACTCACAAAGCAGTCATAAATAAGAATTTTAGGTATTCAAAGAATTGTTTTCTTATGTAAGTATCTTTAAATCTTCGACGGATATTGCCAAGGGTTCTGTAAGTTCATAATTATTAGTTAAAATTCTCACAAATTAATTTACGGTACTCGAGTATCTCCGAGTCGGAGACTGTAGACTAAGGGCATTGTTACATACAAATTAATTTTTTTTTTTGATTTTGACAGTGTTATTAAACGACCACTTTGCATGCTAATAACACGCAGGGTTCAGCCACCCTTTTCATCGATTTAAGACATTTTCATTTTCAACGATCTGGCAGTATGCTCGCTAGGGTAATAAATTGCTGCTTACATTTCAAATTGTTAATGTGAAAAAGAAAACAGTTTAACCAGTCAGTAACTGATGTATGCGCAGTGAGTTCAGAATACACAGATCATTTTGATTTTAGCTGGCCTTTGAACGTTTTATTCTGCCGAAAATAATCGATATGAGTACTAATAAGGAAAATAGTTTAGTCTTTAGACTTTAGGGCGAACTTTTTTATTTCCTGAATTAACGCATGCGCAGCAAAAATCCGTCACCGGTTGATTCAATTCAACTCATATATGTATATAAGTACTGCAACACCCTGTGAACAACCCCCGAAATATTATAGTGATAAGACAACCCAGACAGCCAGTCAGCCACACTAGAATTACAACCTCTATCACAAATATACATACATATATGCGAAGAGAAAACGGTTTAACTTTACGCGCTCTCTTGCATTCTCATGATGTTCTCCCATGCAAGACTTCAAGGTTTTACAGTTACGAAAATTTAAAGGGCTCCATCAGCTCGGACAGTCAGTTATTCGACAAAGTTTGCCACTGTCGTGTGCGCTTCACTTGAGAAACGGAAGAGAAACAGGGATATGCAAAACGGCAACGTAGGCAAATATAATAATCACAAGTTTTGCCCCTCTCCCAATGTGTGCTACTTATGTGTGTGTAAAAAAAAAATCAGTAAAATTTTAGTGCAAATGTCTTGAGAATTGTGAGCCCAATGCGTAAATGTTTTCAAATGTAATTATATAATAAATAAAAGAGCTGCAAAATAATCATCCCTGTCGAGTGGCCGTGCACCTCAAGTTGCTAAAAGTAGCCAACACAGAGAAATAATTCATAGAGGCTCTGTCTACGTGTGTTAGTGTTAGGAGTAGTAATTTGAGTGACGTATTTTTTTTTTTTTTAATAACTGCATTGTATGGACGCGACGACAATCTTCATCCGGAAGTGATTTGTACACAGCTACAATGACCCAACCATTGGCAAGACCACCAGTAAGCAAGGAGGTAAGCGGAAAATGTTGCCACTCGGTAAATAACAAAGTGTACAACAGCTTTTCCTAATCCCCGATTTTGCTGTCTCTTTTATAGACATTTGTGCAAATCGATTTTAAAATAATCAAAACTACGCGCAGCAATGAAAACAAAACAAGCTGTCCAGAGAGTCGGACTACTAAAGACACTCGCCGCCAGCTGCGTACCTTGCATAGCGGCAGTGTTTGGTTAGTCCAGCTTGTACTTGAAAATTTAGTTTTAAATAACTTTTCTGGTTAAAATAAGTGTTTTTTCTCTTAAGACAAAGGAAAGGGGAGGGGGTGGTATTTGTATTGGTAGAACCTATTTACCAACTAAGCTGGTTCTGGCATCCAAATTAACTAAAATATCGCCACAAACTTGCGCTGGAAATCGATATTTATGGATTTTACACAAGCGGGGGAATAATCGAATACGTGTAATAGATATAATCCTCCATCTGCCTGTTATATACACTTGCACACCCCTTGCCCTTTTTATACTCTTTTTCACAAAGTCGAAAAGAGTACATTGGTTTTATTCAGTCGGTTTCCCTGCCCCTATGAAGGTAATTTTTACGCGATAGAAGCTAGCCATTTAATTCTTACAATATATGTATTTTACTTGTGTATATATCCGCGTCAGATAAAGTGTTAAAATCTTTGGACCACGCCCACTAGAGTGTGGGCAAGACCCTATAACTCTCAATAGATCTTGATATGACCGTCAGTACCAATCAAATAAAAATATTTAGTTTTAAAGGTGGATTTACCAAATTGCTACTGCTACTGATAGATTCGATATATTTGACAACCTCAATTTCCACCTGTATACTACTTATGGCATATTTTAATGAATGACATAAAAATATTGCGGCCAAGTCCACATATGGCTCCACATAAATTGCCAAAAAGAGATTTATTTTTATATTCCCATTTTAAAATGTATGTTGTTTACTTTGTGGTTTAGATTTACAAGCCCAATAATTAACAAGTCTAGTCAGGAGTATCGACAAGGAGATACCCTGAACCTTCTTCTATCAACACAAAATGCAGCTCGCGATACGCTATTGTTTGTATAAGCATTTAACAAAGTTACTACCCTATAGCGCTGTCGAACGTGCAACTCAATTAAATCGTCAGAACGCCTCATACCCCTCAGTCATATCAAGAACTCAGTTTCGATGAAAAAAATACTGAAATCAAATAACAGCTCATACGCAGAGCATGGAATACGATGCAATTGCAATTGCAATTCTATTTGTATGAATGCATGTGTGTGCATGTGTACACATATGTACATCTATACAGAAATTGTACAGCTTTGAGCTTGCAGTCACGTGGCTTGCCATATACAGGAAGTACACGTTTTCTTTAGTATATTCTGTGTTTCTTAACCGATCTTGATGAATTTCAAGCAGTATATCCTATCGTGTTATAAAATATTCTTATATGCTCAACAGCATTAAAATTGTAGCTTGAATTGGTAGGTAGTTCCAATTGATTTATTTATTTTATTTATAGCTATGTGCGGAATAGCTATAAAAGGAAAGAAACATGATTATTATTAAAACTTTTCTCGAAGCTACAGCTGCAGGATTAAAACCTAGAAGATTTCTCAAAAAATCGGATTTATATATCGATTTTAATCGGTTGCTTGGAAACGATTTTGGAAACGAAGTAAAATATGACGCGATACTAGAAGGAATTACGATCAACATTTCAAGTTTCTAGCTCTGACAGGTTCTGAGTTCGACGCGTGCAGACATACGGACAGACGGACATGGTTGGATTGACTTGGCTATTAAGGCTCGATGCATCTCTGAGCACATAGAGTATTTATAAGAAGGTGCAGGGTATCTTCTATTCGGGAAACCCCGACAACAGCACTCTTACTGTTATCATTTGATGACGCTTTTTTCGGTTCCAGGATAGTACGCCCCTTGTCATTCATTCAGTTAGGCGACGAAAAGCTCTCTACAGCCGTTTGTTTTTTATAAAGCTTCTGTTTAATAACCCTTTTCTTTATCGTGGAAAAGTGCACAATTCAGAGTAGGTTGATGGTATTCTCCTTTGCATAGAGTGCTCCTTAGAAATACAGATTTGTCCGCTTAATCTGTATTACTGTATCGTCACACGATAGAAGGAGAGTAAAAACCAATTAAAAAAATTTATATTGTTTTTGGTAAATGACCATAAAGCGTAAAAATAAAAAAAAAAACCGAAACTATAACGAAAATTTTATCAACAATGAACTTATTTATTATTTAGCACAAAGCAACAAAAAAAAAATTCTTGGCAAGATCACAACGGACCACGATTAAAGACATTTAAAGGTTTCGTAGAAAAGGGTAGTGAAGAATTGTGTAAATAAATATGGTAAGAATAATAATTTTTTTTGCATTTCCTTTGAATCCTAAATTATTGATTTGTTCGTCATTTGGGCCATTTCCTTACAGCAAAAATCAAATCAATGCAATAATAGTTGACAAAAATGGTAGGATAATTGTGGTGAGGCTTTATCAGAAGCCATAGGAGTATATGAATGGAAATGGCAAACAGCAGGCAATGTCCAAGAAAATCAAATTAAAGTCTAAAGCAAGTCAAATTAGATAAGCATAAGTCACGAATAACTATTAGCGAGACAGAAAGGATATTTTCTAATACCCTAGTAGCCATTTTCTATATTAAAAAGGGTTCAGATAGGAGCTACCATATACCTAGCGACAAGTAGAAAAGTAGAAGATTAAGAATTTCTTTTAAACATATCTATGTATATTCTCAAAGCACACATCCACACGCATGCTGCAAAGTACCATCTTTGGACAGCTGTTGTGCTCCCTCTTCCTTAAGCTCGTAGACTATGGGAAATGCATTCAATATACTAAAAAGGAAGGAAAAGGGAAGGTTATTATCGATACTTATTATAACAAGTAATAGGTTCTAGTCGGGAGCTCCCGACTAGGGGATACCCTGAACCCTCTTCTTCCAACAACAAATGCAGCTCGCGCTACGCGCTCGTTTGCTTTAGTATAATAAAGAAAAATTAAAATAAAAAAAATATTGTACCATAAAATATTCATGTTTTCTTAAAATGACAATTGCATTTAAATTGTGGCTTATATCGTTGGGCGGAATAAATTCGTTTATAAACTTGATTTGTAGCTATGAGGTAGTAGCGGGGAGGTGGCGATAGCTGAAAGATACTTCATATATATATACTATTTTAGAAGCTACATGTCAAGTTTGGTGACTCTACCTCGTATTATTTACCAAAATTGCTCAAAAGTCAGGATTTGGATATCGATTTTTATCGATTACTTGGAAACGGGGACTAGGGGACTAGGAGGACCTACGTCTAAAATTTCAATGGTAATGTGTACGTGTTTGATTGTAGCGGTGTACTAATTATTATGACTATAAGTGTATTTAAATGAGGAAGTATATGCATAAGTAAAATCTTATGAACGTTGGACTACTACACCATATTTTGTGATGGTATTAACCCCTCTAAGGGTATACAGTCTTTGGTGCCGAAGATAAGTGTTCTCTCTCATTCAACCTGCACAACATGATGGCAAACTGAATAAAACATGTGGTAATCGAGGAACGAAGAGGACGGTTTTATAGTTCTCATCGTGTTCACACTGCAACTTCAACAAAAACATAGACGACTAATGACCTATAGGATAACCGGTAGACGGTGTCATGCAGCTATACGAATACGTTCCTTAAGGAAAATGGTATTCGCTAGAGCCAGAGCTTTGGAGTATTCTGGTAAAAGGCGATGGGCTTGCCGGTAGGTTGGGCAGTCGGACAAATGACATTAAAAATGTTAAAAGTAACCCCACGACGTACTGCCAAACAACAACCACCCCAAACGGCTCGTGCGCCAAAGAAAGGCAAAAGCTCTTTTACTCTCTATCATTTTCTCTTACACTTACTCTTTATTTTGTTCTTACGCATGCGTAGATTTTGAATTCTCTTATATTTAAACCCGTTTGGCTGTCAACAGTTTAGTTTCCGCTTCCATTTTGTACCTTTCCCTTTTCACTCTCTTTAACCATAGTTCTTATTGCACTCCGCTTTTTATACCCCTGCAGACGGTATTATAATTTGAAACGAAATGTGTAACACCTGAAAGGATACAACTCCGATCCCATATGAACAATGATCTAAGATATATTGTTAGTTATTAGCATAATTTAACATGAATAAAATGAAACTGCTTTTTCCTGCACACAGTGTATATCAAAGTTAATCAAAAGCAGCTTTTGAAAAAAAATATTTTTTTTGGTAAATTTAAGATCTAAATATCAATATTGTATTGTGTATATATATATATATCGGTTAATTCATATTGAGTTGATTAACAGAAATATATCATACAGCTTCATTGTGGACATGCCAGGCTATTGAATCTTGTCTTATAATAACAGCTTACGCTATTTAACCTTGAAAAGGGATTTTAAAAAATAAGTAAGAGTGTGCTAGTCAGGATTTCAGGGTATAATATATATAAATTCTAGAATGTTAGGATAGTTTAAGATTTAATATCATTTTAAACATTTTTGAAGTAAACATAATTTGAAGTTTGCAAATTATGAATTTGATGAAAATATAAACAAATAGAATATTTTCAATAGATTTATCAATTACAATATACTACTGTGATATTGATAAGATTTAGCTCATATATAAGCAGCATCGTTTAAATAATAAAAGCCTGGTTTGGTTAAGATATGTGGATAACCAAAAAAGTTTTTCATAAAAGAACCTACTTTTCGTCCGATCGTTCATAATATAGTGGCTAGATCTGGCCGGCTCCGGCACATGTACTGCGTGCAACACAAAGACGGGTCTATGCAAGGTTTAAAGATAGTCGGGCATTTCGAATATAGTACTCTTTCATGCTTACAACTTTAAGGCCATATGTGTATATGTATTTATGTCTACAAGGGTATGTAGAGATGAAATATACTACCACTTTTATATAAAAGCACTATTTAAGTAAGACCGTATTTTTGTCATTATTTTAACGACCACCTACGTTATATCAATATAGTTATTATATATTGTATACATTTGTACATATTTAAGAAAAAACAACGCTGTTGCATCACCTGTTTACGCGTGGGCCACAAAAGATATTTTGTTCTTGCGCTTAATTCGTTCAGTTTTTTGTTTTTATCAATGTTTCGACTGGCACAGCAAAGCACGATTCATGGTAAACGACAGGGACACTTGACAAATGCTCTCACGCCGGAATGCTACTTGATCATTACCCGATTTCAATGAGTACAGGGAATAAAAACAAACTGCGTTAGGTCTTTCTGTGCAAAAGTCGGCATGACCACAATGCTCATTAACGATGACCGATTGAACGCTTGAACCGCTTATACTCAAAAACGTACTAATAAGCTAAATATTGTTTTTTACACCCTTGTAGAAAGATTACAATTTTTTCATAAAATGTCTAACGCATAGAAGGAGACATCTTTGACACCAAAAGTAGGAGTAGGCTCTTTTATTTTAAACATTTATACCCTGAACCCATTGAAAATGGGTAAAAAGGGTATAATGTTTCTGTGCAAATGTATGTAATAGGCAGAAGGAAGCATCTCCGACCCCATAAAGTATATATATTCTTGATCAGCATGAATAGCCGAGTCGATGTAGCTATGTCCGTCTGTCTGTCCGCCCGTCCGTCCGTCCTTCTTTCCATCCGCAAGGATCTCAGAATCTATAAGAGCTAGAGACTTGAAATTTTAGCTGTAGGTCCTCCTAGTACCCTAGTACCCGCAATTTTAGTAAATAACATGAGCTAGAGTCACCAAACTTGACATGTAGCTTCTAGAATAGAATATATATACCAAGTATCTTTCATTTTGTACGTATCGCCACCTCCCCGCTACCACCGCAAAGCTAAAAATCAAGTTAATTATCCAGCTTGTATTGCCCATCAATTTAAGCCATAATTTATATGCAATTGAGTATTTGAGAATACACAAATATTCTATATTCTATTCTACAATAAGATGTACTGTCGAAAATTTCATAAAGATCGGCTAAGAAACACAAAAGTTATGTGCGCACGTTTTAGCAGCAGCTAGCGCAAATTCCAAGAATTTCTGTATACATGTACACACACACATTCATGCGCGCCTGCTTTGAATGCTATCAACAGCATTGCAATTGCGATTGTATTGTTTTCGGTGCTGCTAAATAATTATTGGTGTGGCTGCCAAGGGAAAAGTTTTTTTTTTTTATAACTTCTAACCGCGTAGCGCGAGCTGCAATTGGTGTTGGAAGAAGAGGGTTCAGGGTATCCCCTAGTCGGGCGGACCCGACTAGAACCTCTTACTTGTTTGTATATCAAGATATCTTGATGAAACTCAGCATTTATAAGTTCCACTATGATCCTCATATATACGCAAAGTCTTATTAACATCGACTCATAAAGCTGCCATAGGAAAGGTCGATCGAAAAGTTGGTTCTTATATGGCAAAATATTCTGTTTTCGAAGATATTTTCATCGAACTCAGAATTTACGAGCTTCACTGTTCTCACATATCCGCTGAAATAAAATGTCTACAAGGGTATTATATCTTCGGCTTGCCGAAGATACCAATACTTTCCCGTTTTTCATATAATTACCAATACAAGTAAGAGTGCTCTAGTCGGATGTGCCCGACTACGTGATACCCTGAACCTTAGCGCTTGTTTTATGTAGCACTAAGAAAATAAATTTTAAAAATGTACTATTCCCTCTTCCAGTGTCGAACCCACAACCAACTTCAACCCACTGAACTACTTGCCATCGCCTCATTCGTCACAGCCATACCAAAAATCGAATTTAGGGAAAAGAATTTAACTTAAAAAGCATCACATACACAGAGCAAAGCAAACAATATAATCGCAATTTTAATTCAATTTATAAAATTCAAAAAAGAATCATTTATTAATGTTTGTGTGTAATTTAGACTTTCTTTGTCTGCAGAAAATCATATTGTACTGTAAAATATTCGTATATTCTCAGAAAAACAACAGCATTGAAGTTGTGGCCTTATTTAATGGGCAGTTCCAATTGATTTTTTTTTTTATTTTACGTGATGGAGTAAAAGTTGGTGACTCAAGCTCTTAAAATCCAAGAGATTTAATCAAAAACGGGATTTCGATATCAATTGTTATTGATTGCTTGGAAATGGGGGACGAGCATTTGTAGGACCTTCATCCCAAATTTCAAATCTTTAGCTTATAGATTCTGAGATCGAAGCGAACCAAGAATATATGGGGTCCAAGATTTTTCTTTCTTCCTGATACATACATTTGCACAAAACTTATGACTCGAATTCAATGGGTTCAGAGTATCCCTGTTGCTTGGCCAAACTTTAAATACAGTTGATTGCATTTGAGAACGCATACGTATCTATGATAAGAGGCGAGGATTTTCTGAAAAGTGTGAAACACGTATCATGAATTTTCACAAGCTACTTGGAAATTAATTTAAGCCCGAGACTTCACCCACCAATTTCTTGACCTCCATTTCAAACGAGGAAGGACAGATTATCCGAAAAGTGTGAAACACCTCACACATGAATTTGAATAAATATCATTTAATGTATTGTACAAAATTGTAAAAGAAAATTTCTGTAGTGATGGTCTTGGGCTTTGGTATTTGCATTTGTATGCCATATTTATGATCTTAAAATTTAAAAAAAAAATCGGACAACAGGAATCGAATTTACCCACGATAGCCGCAGCCTCAAATGCCCAGAAAGCGGGGTATGTGTATTTTTGTGTATGACTGTATAGAAGTATGAGGGAATGTTTGTGACGGTAGCTCAGCGCTAGATTGAGGGAATCTCCAAGTCGTGCACTCCCGACTAGAGCAGTCTTCCTTGTTTTAATATGATAAAATGGATTTTAGATCAGCAGAGTCTATATCGCATTCAAATTAATTGCAAACAGACTTTTTCTTTACCGTTGCAGAATTCACTACCATTACTGTTTGAATAATGTCGCATGAAAAAATAACAACAGTAAAAAACGTATATGACAAATTATTATCAATGATATCCTTAGCACTCACAACTAGTTTGAGCGCATAGACTGGCATCAATAAATACAGCAATTAATCTTTGAACATAAGTTATTAAAGGCTTTCAAGCCAGCAATTTGTTGTGAGGCTATGCGGCAACTTAGCAGCAACAGCTGAAGGCAGGAGCAACGACAGCACCAGGAGTGTGAGCGAATGGCCAAACACCAGCTTACACTGCCTGTAAGAAATAGATAACAGTTTACAGCCTTAAACTAGCAAAGCCGCAAAATGCAAAAGGAGAACAATGTAATGGCGGAAAACTGTCAATTCGTAGGTCCATATCGCTTGGAGAAGACACTGGGCAAGGGTCAAACCGGTAAGTAGCCAACAATAATTTTAAATTCTTTTTACCAATTTTAAAAATAAACTTCTTCTTTTTGGTCAGGTCTCGTTAAGCTAGGCGTACATTGTGTGATTGGAAAAAAGGTAGCCATTAAAATAATCAATCGTGAGAAACTTAGCGAATCAGTGCTCATGAAGGTAAGTATTGCAGTCCATCACACCACTTACCTTGAAGATTCTTTTTATCAGATATCAGTTCTATATGACTTGACTATTTATACCATTATAGATTATTTTGACACAAGATGTCTAACGAACAGAAGCAGATATCTCCGTCCTAATAAAGTATATATATATATCTGACTGTTTCTGTAACTTGTGAGCTAGATAATCTGAATCAGTTTTCTTTGTCGTCACACACAATAAGAAAGGCTTTGGCAGCTTCTAATATGTAGTTATATTGCTTCTTAGTCAATTGCTTTGGGTTGGCCTGTAACATATTCAAGGTTCATCAACCTTTTCGATTGCATTCGTGCTTTATTTGGATTTACTTGATTCACTTACTATACAATCTATATTCGACTCAGCGGCCACGTCAATTTTTCAGCTATTTCTAAAATTTAATATTCCCGATGTACTTACTAATTTAATGGGTTTCTTGACAAAATGTTCTTGCCTATGGGCTGTGGTATTTATTTTAGTTGCCATCTTGAATGGTATAACGATGAACTCCTTAAATGTGCTTTGTGCAGAACTAAATATAAAAAAAAAAAATAAAAATTCCATAAGTACCTGAATTTAATACCTGGCAAACTGCAGTAATCCACTCATGTGACCATAGAGCTTGTTTTATTTCATATCTAATTTAATAATTATTTAACTCTACTTAAAGCATCGGCATCATCTTTGATACTTTACGATACTCAATCACTTTCTTGATATCTTGCAGAAATATTTACATTGATGCATTGCACTAAATAACCATCTTTGTTACTTGCACTTCTTTGAAGTCTGTACTGTAGCAAGTACTATTAATTCTTACTCAGTTGGTGCTGTCTACCGGCAGGTTCATGTGCTCTACCGAATGGTAACACTAATCTTCTTGGGCTTTTTATAATAATAGAGGTCCGTACCCAAACACCAGAAGAAGTGTACATACATCTAAGAGCCAAGGAAAATCCCTAGAAACGGATAGAGGGGGTGGTCTAGAGGCATTCGCAATAAAGCAATAGTTATTAAAATTAAAATTTACCGTTTCGCGGCTTAATATGCGATCTTAAAATTGTGCCTGGGGCCCAATAATTTTGAGAAGATTCATGTGCGGAAGAGTTTCAACCTTGTGAATAATTTGGTTGTTGATCGCCACTAATTTTCGCCACTAATTTGCCACACGGTTATTAGCCTTATCTAACGTAAGCGTGCGCTGCGAAGCAATTGGTAACACGCGGTTTGAAGTCGTTCAATAAGTGCGTAACCGCGTATGGTGTGAACAATTACGTACCCTACACATAATGCATTTCTTGCAACTTGCATTTTTTTACAATGTGGGATCTCCCAAGGCAATTGTGATAAAGTAACGCAACCGCTGATCTGATGGCTAAAGGATTTGCAGAAAATACAAGGGCTAGGTTCATTTGCTGCGAAAAACCTTAATTTCCATTCTTCTTTTGGATATGTCAAGTTGACTATTGCCACTAAGCGTATACAATATATAAGGCCTTCTTCTTTGCAAGAAAGCCCCATAAGTGATTGCTTCCATTCTGTTTTGCAAATACAGAGTAAGACTATTGAGAGTAATAGCCGAACGCTTTGCCAAGCCGTATCTCGCAAATTGCAGAACGGCAAATGTTCCGATGGATGGCAAACTGTCGTGAATGGCTGTAACCCTGTCGACGAGATGAGCACACATACATACGTATCAGTGGAAATGCCTAACAGAAATTGGTGTTCATTTGTCGAAAGGGGGAGAACGTAGACTATGCATATATATGAATGCAATTTTATACACATTTTATACAATTTTGAAGTATCTACCGTATGTTGCACAGAAATACTGATCCCGAATCCCTTACACAGCTTATTGTTTTTTGTTTTTTTTTTTTACTTTAACTATATAAGAGCCATTGTAAGCCATTGTTATTTCTGTCACCCTTATTATTGGCGAGAGAATTGAAACTGGGTTCCATTGGAAGAACTCAAACCGAAAGTGGCAAAACAGGAAGGACTCGCTCAAACTACAAACCTATGAATCCGGAATGCCCTCAATATTATATTCTATAATGTTTTCCCCATCCAGATTAAAGGGATTTTGCTAGCTAAAGAAATATTCATTCAAAGGTTACTTAGCTTTACCTAACTCTGCCATAAATAAACTTTTGTAAATCGCTCCCCATTACTAATACAAAACTAAGTTCAAAATATCAAAGACATTCTCAATGTCTCTAACGGTTAAAAATATTTTATAATTATGTAATTACGTATGAACTCTCACTCTTAGCTTTCTGATTGAAAAATGTTGGGTTTTAAGTTTTGTCTCTGTATACATAGAACGCTCTTGATTTAAATACTGATTCGTCATCAATTTATGCTGCGTTATTCGGTTGAGCCCAAAAAAATTTAATGATCGATTTTCTTAAACCATAAAACACAAGTCTGCTGCAGGGTTAACATATAAAGTAGGCGTAGGCTTTGCTAGCTTTTAACTTCTTTTGCTATATTTCTCAAGCGGTTATTAGCTTCGGACTGAGGACAAGGCCTTTCATTAACCTAACCTAATTTACGCATTAGCATTAAAATTCGCATTCTCTATCCCGTTTATTCAAGGTTGAACGGGAAATAGCCATTATGAAACTAATCGATCATCCGCACGTGCTTGGTCTGAGCGATGTATATGAAAACAAGAAATATTTGTATCTGATATTAGAGCATGTTTCTGGCGGTGAGCTTTTCGATTATCTCGTTAAAAAAGGTCGGCTTACGCCAAAGGAGGCGCGCAAGTTTTTTAGGCAAATCATATCCGCGCTTGATTTCTGTCATTCACACTCCATATGGTAAGTACTAAATTACCGAGAAAAAAAACGACTCATTTTTTTTTATTGTCACAACTGAACTTGAAGCCATCGGGACTTGAAGCCAGAGAATTTGCTGCTAGATGAAAAAAATAACATTAAAATAGCGGACTTTGGTATGGCCTCACTTCAACCAGCTGGTAGCATGTTGGAAACCTCGTGCGGATCCCCACACTATGCCTGTCCAGAAGTCATACGGGTGAGTCTCGAAAAAGTAAAAATTTTTAAATTACTGCCATTGAACCCTTTTTGATGTTTCTAAGTGCAAATAATTTTGGATCGCATTAGCAACATACCGATTTTATAACAAAGCAAACTACTTAGTTAACGCTACTGCTAATATTATTATCAGAAGCCATAAAAGAAATGTTTTGTCACAAAATCATCTTGATAATCAATTCCAATAAAATGAGAGTTTTATAACCACATAATTACTAAATTTAAATGATGATGATGAACTAGAAAGTAAGAATATCTTCGGCAAGTCGAAGATTTAATACCCTTGTAAACATAATCCTGATTCACATATGTGGGAATCAAAAGACATACAAATGGCGCATAAGGCGACCTTACAAGTTATTTAATAAAGAAAAATATCTAAAAAAAAAAAGATATGTGAAAATAGTGAAACTCGAAACTCGACCGATCGTTCCTATGACAACTATATGATATAGTGTTTCGCTCTTGATGAGATTTGCCATACATGTAGGAGGCATGGTAAAACTCATAAATGCCGAGTTTGGGTTAGATATTTAATCCCTCCCTCCTTGGTGGAAATGGGTGTCAAATATTTTTTGCGCTCAAATTCATTCCCAAAGATCTATCTGAAAAATTATTTTAGACGTGTTTCACACTTTTCATAGAATCCAAGCTTCCTCGGTAGAAATGCGATTCAAAGATTTTTTGACGCAGTTTTAAGTTTTATCCGATTTGGTTGAAACAAATTTTCAAAGTTCTACGTAAGAACTTAATGAATACGTGTTTCAGCGATTTGGGAAATTTCACCCTCAACAGTAGTAAAAAGGCGGAAAACTGTTGTATGAACGTTTGTTGTTTACCGTCTGATCGTTTTCAAACTCATTTACAAAGATCTTTAAGAGATTTTATTTTATGCACGCCACACGCAAGGCCGTGGTATACCCGCTCGTATTATATAGAACTAGAGATACATTCGGTCGAGAAATTAGGTTTATATAACAAAACTTCTATTTTCCAAGATAATTTCAACCAAGTCAGAATTTACGAGGTTTACAATTATGAATCATCTACAATTCCGTAAGACATATGTCAACGAGGGTATTGAATCTTCGGCGTTCCGAATATATGTTTAATTTCTCGCTATATTCTTACAAGTCCTTTACTTATATGAACAAATAATTCACTACTAATAATCAGGTCAGTCTTATGAAGATTAATTTTGCCGATATCGCGTCATAATCGCCTAAGTGTAAATCACTTGCAGTTACTGTCCAAATCTCATTAATTTATTGACGGTCTTCATGAGTTTTTATTATCGCAGGATAATCCAGGGCGTTTTATTAATTTATACAGTAAGGTATTAAGTCAGTCTCCCCCCGACACTCCATCTGAAAGCCTCCACTTTCGCCGTCGCTATAAACCCAGTGCATCAGTTTCGGAGTCTGCTTAGGCTTCTGATCCCACTTAAGACGCCTAGAGCTGAGGCCGTGCAGTTCAGACATTTACACTGACCATGCCTTCCATTTTCGTTGGAGTTCTGGTTCTAAAGTTCTTTCTTTAAAAATCAATGCTTATTACGAATTCTTTTTAATAAATTGCGTGCTTGATTATGTGTGTGAGGGTGTATGTTTTTGTGTATTTATAAATGAAAGAAAGCTCGAGCTGTTGTAAGGGTAGCCTTAATCAGGCTGTTTACTATTCGTCAGTTTTTTTTTTTTTAAATTGTGGATACAATAATTTTTGACGTCATTTTAACGGTTGGAAAGCATTTAGAAAAACCTTTAGTCCCCATTTTATATGTATATCTCAAAGCTCAATATATTCCCATTGTTCCGTGTTGACAAATCATAATAGCTTATTTACTTTACTTTTTTTTTCCGTTGCTGCCACAAGGGTGAAAAATATGATGGACGCAAGGCGGACGTATGGTCTTGTGGTGTCATACTGTATGCCTTACTGGTTGGAGCGCTGCCCTTCGATGATGATAACTTGCGCCAGCTGCTAGAAAAAGTGAAGCGAGGAGTGTTTCATATTCCGCATTTCGTTCCGCCCGACTGCCAAAGCTTGCTACGTGGTATGATTGAAGTTAATCCAGATAGACGTCTAACGGTGAGTTACAATTGAAATATTAACCTCTAAGATACTCTGTCACCAGTCTGATCTGTATGTTTAAAAGAGTTTGTTGGACTGACTAGTAAAAGAATGTATGAAAAATTACCAATTAGAATAAGGTTTTTTTTATTAAATATTTGAGTTTTATCAGAGAAAATTGGTCTGCTAGAAAGAAAAAAGAGAAAGAACGATATTCTTTTGACGGATTTTATACAAAAGCTGAGAAGTTTTTATATACATGCTCATGTTTGATTGATTCCTTATATAAAGCTAGATATTAGCCCGAATTGATCATTTTTTGCTCATATTAAAAAGGTATTACAAAACTAAGTAGCAACTGCTAAAATGGGCTAAGATCTTTTGAAATAAAAATATACATCCATCTTTAGGCAGTTATCTGTATTCTCTATATATAAAACTGTTTGTCCTGCCTAACTGCTTGATTGGTGATCAACGCACAGCCCATACCAAAATAACTAAGAAGTTTAAATGTTAACTGTAGTTACCTTATAAAGTTAAGGGGTTGTTGGGAAACTCCATAAATATCGCGAAAAACGTTTGTATGAAACTTTTTTTTTTGCCATAAGATCGGATCAATTTCATTCTAAATTCATTAATTTATACGAACATTGATTTGAGACGTGAATCACACTTTTTGCAGGACTCAAAATTTTTTGGGAGAAGTTTTAACATCTGTCCGATTTGCTTCAAACATATTTTTAAAGCCCTACATAAAAAAAAATGAATTCGTGATTCAACGATTTTGTAAACTATATCCCCGACTGTAAAGTTTTGGCGAAAAAATTGTGAAAATTGATTTGATACGTTTTCCGCAAATTTCGATGCTTTTGGATAGAAAATGCGGGTCAAAGTTTTAATAATAAAATTTTAATTTTCGGCTTCAAGCTTTTTACCACAATAAAACATTGATGGGAAACCTTGATTCCAACATTTGGTTCATCATACAATAGACTTTAAATATATTACATACGTGGAGTTCAAGATAGTACGGGCAGATTTCAATTTTCTACGAAATCGATCTTTGCTGTCACCTTACATACCTACAAGCACCAGCTAACTCTTCTCCTACTTCAATGCTTGAAAATCTTTTAATGGATTGCACTTCTGTCCTATTTGTACATCTATCTACTTTCAGAAACTTGGTTTAATTCTACCGCATTTGATTGTCGAAATTTGTTCGACAAATTTTCTGTTTATAGACATAATTGAGAAACTTGCACCTACATGCTTTATTCTTATGATATTAATGTTTATATTCAACACCTATTTTGAAATAAATCCATTAAAGTTTCTGATCATGTACGGGAAAATGACTTATGTTTTAAGATTTTAGTTTTAATTTACCAAACGTCTCTCCGCCCTTAAATACCTTGTCAATCGATAACATCAGGAGAACTTCTTTATATTAAATGGTAGACCTCTCATTGCTTTAATTACTATCCATTTTGAGAGAACACTTGTTCTTGTCATGTTAACTATTACTGTTATTTGATTTTATTTGTCAGGATGGTTTTTCGTACATTCCATGACTTTGATTATTTATTCTTATACTTTATACTTGATATATAATATTATATACATTAAGATAATAATATTATATACTTTAACTTTTAACTTAATACTTTCTTCCAACGAGTTCTTGAGACCGCGGTTTTCATCACAATTCATACTATCGATAATTCCTTATTTCTAGAATTGAACATGTAACTTATTCTCCTATCTTATACTATTCTGCATCTGTCTTTTGACATTATCTTATTTCTAACGACTGATCCATTTAAGATGAATATTAAATAAATTAGAAGTTGCGTTATTTTTTGCGATCCTTTAAGCTCATAAATACAAATATCTAACAAGCCCCTTAGTTGCTTTTGGACACTCGGTTAATCAACTTATTCATACAACTGATAAGACCATTTTATGTAACCGATTGATATTAACTATGTTCTTACTATTGTTTAGATCAATTCATTATCAGTTTGAGATTAGTGTATCACCAATCCTATATTTAAAGCGTATGGTTCGAATGTTGACTTGTTTAAATAGCCTAGTAACATTTTTTCATCCGAGTTCTCTGTGCTATCATTACAAAAAACAATTTGCACAGAATTTTGATGTCGATAAAGCCAGCATTGAAGCGTCGCTGCTAGCGTTCCGACTCGGCTATCTGAGGTCATTGTGCAAGGTTGAATTTCCCACGTACCGCTCAGCTCCAATTACTCAGAACATTTTGAAAGTCTGAAGTGTCTGGATATAGAACCTCTAAATCCTTACGTTGCAATGGAGTATTATCGATTGTATAACTGGCAAGATAACACCCAAAACGATTTAAAAGACCATGGCTTACTGTGTTAAATGCCTCATTGAATTCAAGTACGTTGGTCGTAGTTGCCCAATTCTTTGATGAGCAGGGAAGAAAACTAATTTGCAAAGCAATGTCCCTATAATTAGTTATATCAGACTTCCCATCTTTAGGGTGGAGGAGAATCCCAAGAAATGCAGACAAAGTATTAAAGGGAAAGCAATGGGCGAAGAGGGTGAACTCTACACTCATTGAGTAGACAACTAGGAATATTGTCAGGCCCAGAAGAGTAGGAAGAGTTGATAGCTGATAGGGGAGAGCAATGGGAAATAATGGGGGAGCTAGAAGAAGAAATACAAGCACAAGATATTAATAGAAGAGACAGACGAGTAATACTATCTCAGACCTTGAGCAACTTAATGGAGTGGATGGGAGGTGAGAAGCAAAATTTTTAATTGATCAGCTGCCATGTCTATTCCTAATAGAATTGTAAAGATCAGAAATTATTTTCCTGGAAGTATAGAAACTTTTAGATGTTCTGTTTAGCCTTGCATATACAATCCGGATTTGCTAAAAAGGGTAAAGTGAATAACCTCTTCCATGATAGCATTAATGAAGGTGGACTTGCACTATAGTAAGAAAACATTCGATGGTGTAATCTATAACGCCGATTGTTTTTGTTTTTTTACTCACGATGGGAAAGCTGACCACGATATATCGGAAAATTTGGTAACTAATCATTGGATTGATTGAAAATCAAGACCTGAGAGCTGAAACCAGATATAGTAGATCTCAGGGAGTCCCACACAATCAAGACCGCCTCATAGGCAAAAATTACGCACCGAACAGCTGATTACTGCAGTAACCCGGTGGAGGCTGGCACACGGGGGGTTGGCGCAGTTAGCATCACAGCCATGTATGTATAAGAAGGAGCGGATGTTGAATTGAGCTTCTAATATATGTCATATCACGGCTCTTCAGGGAAGTGCATAAAGCCAGTGGTGCTTCAGATATCTTGTCTATAATGAGACCTCGCAATGCGAGGGCGCTGGGACATTCACAGCATAATCTAAAACTCGATATTGCGCTGATGCGTTCCAGTTGTCTATACAGCTAAGAAGCCTGTCTTGACCAGTGTAACCATCCGGAAGCGAGAGCAGAGATCCAGGGGGTGCCAGGTGCAAAAGCTGGCCAGTGGATCGAGTTAAACGCCAAAGGGGGTGGGTGCCAGACTGCTAATAGGCTGCACTTGCACTTCATTTTCGTGTCACATATTTTAAAACACGGCATCCCAATCACAAGTAATTAAACCTGATTTACAAGCTATATATTTCAAGTATCAAGTTTCTAGCTATAATAGTCTACGAGACCAATGTTAATAACAACTCCTGTCTAATTTATGTGTACACATTGCAGTTGGCTGAAATAAATCGTCATGCCTGGGTCACGGCTGGTGGCAAAGGTGAGTTGGAGTTGGAACTGCCCATGATGGAGGTGGTGCAAACACATGTCATACCAACAGCGACCGCTGTAGATCCGGATGTTTTAAATGCCATATGCTCGCTGGGCTGCTTTAAGGAGAAAGATAAACTGTTACAGGAACTGTTGAGCGCCAGGTATTGCCTAAATGTCCTCAAATTACAATTACGTTCATAAATTATGCTTTACAGCCACAATACCGAAAAGGTTATTTACTTTCTACTTCTGGAGCGCAAGCGGCGCCGTCCTGCACTGGAGGATGATGAAGAAATTGCACTAAAATCACGTAGCGAATTAGATGCAGTAGATCCACCACGCAAGCGGTTGGACAAGTGTCGTATTAATGGCACTAGTGCGCCCAGCTACGGACAGATTTCTGAGGGTTCACCATTGACGCCGCGACGACAGGCCTTCAAGTTAGTTGGTCGAAGTCCTCTTAATGCTCCTCCACTAACTGTTATTATAATCTGTCTACAGCTTTCGATCATACAGCAGCACACGTAACCATCAACGACGCTCACCAACGACGGTGTCAACGTCGGTACGCAGCTCTTCATATCATAGTCCAACTCGTTGCAACTCACCAATGAGCTTAACGCAGCAGCAGGCTAATGCGATATCGCGGCCAACCTCGCCTGCAGCAGGATCACGCCATTCAACTTACGGCGATCGAGAGCGTTCCGGATCGGTACATCATCCTTCGGTTAGTCGAACGCCATCTCACAGCTCACAGAAAAGCATTGAGGGCGATGTGATAGTCGTCAGGGAGCCGCGTCTTGAGCGCCGTGATTCCGCTCGCCAAGCGCAGGAACGCAGTGGCGGTGGCTCTCCGCGAGAGCGTGGAGATTGTGTCCCATCGTCTAAAAGTCCGGTGGGCGATTCGTGTGGCAATTCCGCGACAGCTTTACCCTCGGTGCATCATCGCGCTACCTCAGGTCCGACAATTGCCATTGGTATGTATGCATGACCAACAGATCCTTTGCGGTAGCTTTTTCTTTGAAAGCAGAAACTTACTATATGTATATATATTTTTTTGTATATAGTTGTAAATCCTAATGGATCGCCGTTGCTTAACAATAGTAATCCTGGTATACCAGGCTCGCCCTGCAATACGCCTGGAGGGCAGCTGTGGAAAACCCGACTCACCAACATTAAGAACAGCTTTCTTGGCAGTCCGCGTTTCCATCGGAGGAAAATGCAGGGTAAGTTTGGAATATATTCTGGCTTATAGTATTTAGACTGATTAAGCTGCTTCTATTTCAGTCTCCGCTGATGAGGTGCATTTAACGCCAGAATCATCGCCAGAGCTTACCAAACGCTCCTGGTTTGGCAACTTGATAACAACGGAAAAGGATGAAACATTCACCATATTGGTGAAGGGCAAACCTATTGCAACCGTCAAAGCGCATTTGATACATGCATTTTTATCCGTAAGCCTTCTATTAAACTTTTATTTTTAAGTCTACCTTTAATTTTCCAATTCTCATATTCGGACTTACAAAATTATACCAATATTCGATTCTTAAAACACACATCCGTTACCCATATGCTGAAATTTAACTTGTCCGTATATACTTATGAACACTAGCGGGAAATTCCTGGTCTTGCCCGTGGCACGTATGTTATAAAATCAATGTTCTCAAAAAGCTTTGAAAATGATTTTGAAACTGATCGGATGGTAAGCAAACAACTTTCATACAAACGTTTTCTGCCAATTTTCCACTGTTGCGAGTGCAATTTCCCAAATCGCTGAAACACGTATTCATTGTGTTCTTATAAAGAGCTTTGAAAATAAGTTTGATGCAAATCGAACAAAACTTAAAATTCACCAAAAAAAATCTGTGAAATGCACTTTCCACCGAAGGAGTTTAGATGTTTCGAAAAATGTGAAACACGCCTCAAATGATTTTTTATGTAGATCCTTGGAAATGAATTTGAGGGCGAAACGTCACTCACCAAATCTTTGACCATCATTTCCACCAAGGAGGGATGGATTTTCCAAAAAGTGCGAAACACCCCTCACATGAATTTGAACGAAGATCTTTAAAAATGATTTTGATGCCGATTGGATGGTTATCAAAAAAGTTGCATACAAACGTTTTTCGCGATTCTTCCACACTTGCGGGTGGAATTTCCAGAAACCCCGTCTCAATGTGCACCTACATCACATAAGGTAACTACAGTGCAAATGTCAGCTTCCATGCTCTTGCGTTGATCACCAATCAGTCAGTCAGGGTCAGTCAGGACAAACAGTTTTATATATAGAGATATTTTGCATGTTTTGTATATATTTTGACATAGCGATGCATCAGTTTCTTTTTAGATTCTGTCCTATTTTAAGAGACAACAATTATTGTTTTTTTTTATCATAGGTAGCTATAATGTATAAAACTATAGTTACAAAATATTTTGCATTTATAATATTGATTTTTTTTTTATTCAAAACTAAAAGTAAAGAAATTCAATAGGTGGCATAAGTATTTTGACAAAATGTTGTTTATCAACTAAATATAATATTATGTTTAATCAATTTAATTTAAACCTAAAATTAATTAAAAATATAGCCTCCTTTTGGAGCTAGGTCCTTTTGGAGGATTTTCGGAACGGAATCCACCAAGGTTTGGAGGTTCTTTAATGTAATAGTTTTCCACTCCTTTGCGACCTCAGTGATCGTTTCGTCCCTTGTCCTAGTCAGATCGGCGACCACACATATTCAATAATGTTCAAATCTGGACTTTGGGGTGGCCAATCTAGTGTTTCCATCCCAAGTTCTTTTGAAAATGCGGTAATTCATTTCCGATCAATTTCTCGCCGAAGGAAAACACAAAATCGTTTAATGTTCTTAGACATTGCTTCTGGTTCATTGAACCGTTAATGGGAATCAAGTCTCACACCATTATAAAAAACGGTGTGATGAGTGGAACTCAAAACTATTCTCATCCGCCCACAGGACATTGCGTTAAAATGAAGCAGGCTTGATGATGTACATACCTTTTCGCGAATTCCAAACGCTTTATTTTATTTTTAGGGGTGATGCAAGGTTTGTTAGGTATATATTAATCGCCAATGCAGTCTTATTCCACTTCAAGTCCACAGCTTTTGGTGTTATATATTTTGACAAATCGACGATAAGACGGTCTGCATCAGCTTTTGTCTTTCGATTTCTGCCTGTTCGTCGTACATAGGTTATTTGATTTAGGGTTTTATTTTTATTGGTTTCATAATATATATGTAGCTTGACGTGACAAATTACATATATTTGTAAGCGATATTTATTACGGAAATATCCAAGTTATATTTTGTCACAATTTCTTTTCTAATCAATGTACCATTTTTAATATTTAAATCACGGGTTTATCAAATAATAAGGAAGATTTTTCAAAAACATCTTTAATAACAATTTGAACTCGCCAAATAACAACTTAATCACTTGATGTCAAAATACTTTTGCCGCTGCAAAAGTCGTTGTTTGGTGGCAGGAAGACAAAATATTTCGCATATTTACAGTTATTAATGTGCACTTCACTTTCATCATAATTTTCGCTTTGTTGAATACAACGGTACTTAGCAAAATAGACTAATAGTTAAATATAAGCTACATATGTATGTATGTATGTCAAAATATATATGTATGCCAAATTAAATTGATATCTGTTCAAATGTTCAAATGTTCCCTGAACCCAACCCAAAGCTGCCGTTACGAGCATAAGTGCTCGTGTATGTATACGTACATTCACATTTAGCCTAGTACGTTTTTGTTTATGTATGTATGTATGTACAGAAAGAATTTTGAGTGTTCTAACGGCATCTTAGCGGTGGGCTTCGGGTACACCCGAGTCGGGAGTTCTGTCTAGCGCCTTCTTGATATACCCTACACTAGAGGTGCTCATGCTGCAAACCTAGATCGTGCTATTCCGTCTAAGTCTCACGAGCAAGATCTCAAAAATCAAATATCATCAATTGTATCTTTTGACTGAAGCCGTTGTTAATTCCCTAATTCATGGTGTGGCTGTTGAGTAGAGGCGGTTGCAAGTAGTGCGGTATATTACGAGTTCGAGGACTATCGCCAGACACTTCTTTTCTTTTTTAAATTTATTTTTATTACTGCTGAAGCAAACGAGCGCGTAGCGCGAACTGCATTTGGTGTTGGACGATGAGTGTTCTGGGTATCCCCTAGTCGGGAACTCCCGACTAGAGCCTTTTACTTGTTTTAATTTATCTTAATTATTTCTTTAAAAAAAACAAGCGCTCGAGCTGCATTTGGTATTGGTAGTAGAAGGTTCAGGGTTCAGTTGGGCACTCCCGAATAGAGCACTCTATTTAATATTGTTTGTTGTATCCTTTTACTTATTTAATATGTGGAAAATAAGATTTTTTTCTCCTGGTTTTGCTAATAGAAGGTTAATGATGTCGAGCACTCCCGACTAGAGCACTCTTCTTCTTTGTTTTACCAATCAATTAATACAGGGTATAATATTCAATACGAACTTAATCGATTAGCAATAGTAAATCAGTTGATGTCTGCTTATATTTCTATATCCTATTAACTATATTGAAATTGATAACATTTACAGATGGCTGAATTATCTCATAGTGTAGTTTCACCCACATCTTTCCGCGTGGAGTATAAGCGTAACGGAAACGGATCAGTTATGTTTCAACGTCACGTCAAATTTCAGGTATGTAAGCATTTTTGATAGCCCCCTCCTAAATAATACTAAATTTTCTTTTAAATAGGTTGACATTAGTCCCATATGTAAACAAGGTGATATTGCAGATATGCTATTTGCTTTAACGTTTACACTGCTATCAGGTTAGTAAATCTTAAAAATAGTTATAACAATTTTTCACAGAAATGTTTGTATACAGGCAACATTAGGCGCTTTCGTCGAATTTGCGAGCACATACAATCCCAGGTCTGTTCTAAACGTTTTCCGGGTCCAAGCAGTCCACCAACAGTAGCCTCAGTCACTCAAGCGGTCTCAGAAAGCTCCTCCTGTGGCTCTGTGTCGAGCGAACGATTGTCTTATAAGCGACAGGTGGTGAGTTTTACTGTGTATATCTTTTTTAAAAGTGCAAGGCACTTGAATACAGACAATCACAATCATAAAAGCAATCTTATCAAGCTGATGACTGTCCTTTGCAGATTGAAAATGATTTGGAAAATGATTCAATATTTTCGTACAAATCGGGAAGTGGACGTCGGGCTTCGACGACGAATAACAACAATGCTAATGCTGTGGATGTATCTGACAGTCCAATTGCAGTGCGTTCAAAGTAAGTGATGCCCAATCTTAATACATAGAACGACTATTTATTATAAGTTTCCCACAGTTCTGAAACAGCTGAACACGACCGCAACCGTAAGCTGCAGAGTGATAGACAGGCGACAACGATGTCCGGGAGTGCAATTGCATGAGAATTATTTCTCTGATTTAGTTACGTTTTTTCCAAAAATATTTATTTTAAGCTACCACAAAATAAAACCCTTTATTAAAATTAAGTCATCAAATGGAACAAATGATAAATTGAAGCTGTAATTCTTTGAAAATACTTACATCAGAAGTTACATGAAAGCAATAATGGTGCAACTTGCAAATTGTTTGAAAATCTTACATGCTCTTATAAAATCAAACAAAAAAATAATTTAAATTTTAAAAACTGCTTTTATGAAAGCGGAAGGCTTTGGACTCGAGTGATTTGATTGCTATTTTTTTTAAATTTAATTTTGGATGCCTTTACATAACGTTTTCATTTGTATGGATATTGTTGCCGCCGCACCTATCAAGCTTACGAACAAACTAAACAAAATCATGTAAAAAATACCAATTAAAAACATATATAAGAAAATTTAAAATGTTACCAAAAGCTATTGTATAAGACCCAGCTTAATTCACAATGTTAAACTTTAGAATACTCATAATCTAGTCTAGGAATGCTATTAACTATAATATTAGCTATGCAAATTCAATAATACTTATTTAAACTAAATGCCTAACATTTTTATAATGTCTAAAAACAAATTACTCAAAAATGTGTTGAAGATTGACTAAACCAACCAAAAAATGTATTTGCAAAGGCTTCTTATTGCTTTTCTTATAAGAAAAAAATGCTTGCCACCAATAAAGTAAAACAAGCAATCAAAATAGCCTTCACCGCATACTCTTTCCCAAGCTGCAAACAAATCAAGGAAGAACAGCTTTTTCAGACTGTTAAAGATACCCCTTGCAGATATGCCATATATTTCTATATGTAGCAACACGATGGTGGTTTTATTATAAAGTTGTCTGATATTGATTGTGTTTTTGTTAATCTTCAATGTCTCATAGAAAATATGCTAATTTGTGAGTCTGCTCAAAACATCATTACAAACAGATTTGACCAACAGTTGACACGGAGCTAAAATATCTTTTGTACAAAGCTATGATTATATGCGTAAAATAAGTGTAGTCTGTGCTTCTGTTTACCTTAGCATAAGACTATATCTAAGTTTTTACCATTTTAAGGGGAACAGAAAGGGATCTAAAAAGGTAAAATATTTAGGATCTGTCACTATAGAATATGCAAAACCCATTATATCGCTTTTATATTTAATGGGGTAAAAAAACGATCTAAAAATGTTTCGTCAGTTTAGACCCATCAAAAAAGTAAAAATTTTTAATCACACATGAATTTCAAGGATGTTGTCTCAATGCGAATATACGAATATTCTATGGCAAAATAATATAAACTTTAGACAATTTTCATCAGTATCAGTTAAGAAATACAGAATTTATCAAAGAAAACGTTAGCAAGATTTGACAAGAATATGGACTAATACATTCATGTGCGTGTATTCTTTTTGGAAATCTATAAATAGATGTGCGATTGCGATAATATTGTATGCTGTACTCTGGGTATATGTGGTTATTTTACATTAGCTTTTTTTCTTGGTATGGCTGTGAGGTAATTCGATCTGATAATCAAAAATAAATATAAAAAGAAGATATAGCTGGCCCTGCCGGTGTCGAGCTCGCCACCTCCCTCGTCAGGCCGAATTTCTTTCCATAATCTCGTATCTCACAGCCATACCAAGAGTTCAGTTGCAAACAAAAAGAAACTGAATTAAAATAGCAGTACATACATACAGCACTGCTTACAGTACATTTGAAATTGAAATTCTATTTATAGAATTAAAACGTATGTAGAAATTATTGCGCTTTGCGCTTGCTGCCACGTGGCTTGCCCATATTTCCACACATTATCGTTAATAAACTCTGTGTTTCTTAACTGGACTTTATGAAATTTTCCGCAGTATATGTTATTGTACTTTAGAATATTCGTATATTCTCAAAACGACAACAGCGTAAAAATAAAATAAATTACCGATTGGTTGGAAAAGCGGTCAAGCTATTGATCATAGAAAACAGACTCGTAGTGCGCGGCAAATCTCTAGCTCTTATAGATTCTAAAGACGATGCGTTCATACATACGGATAATCGGAAATAGCTCGCTCGACTCGGCTATTGAAGCCAGCCAAAAAAATATATTTTTTCGGGTCGGAGACGCTTTCTTCTTATCTTAAATCTTTTTTAACCATTTATAATGGGTTGAGGATATGAAAAGAGAATACAAACACAGTTGCCTTTTAACAAGAACAAAACTAAATCAATTTATCTAATTTGATTTGGGATGTGGGATGCAGCACACACAACTTTTGACCCGAAAACTAAATTTTTTTTTTTAAATATTCGAAATTAAGTTAGATTCAGATCAGATGGTAAACAAAAAATGTTTCATTTCAGGTGGAATATTCTTATAACCTGTCTTAGAACGCAACTTGTATGTATAGTTCCAATTTCAGAATTCCAGTCCTTACGGTTCGGACCAACTTTTATACTTTATTTAAATAGATTCTCGTATGTATAACGAGGACATCAATTTTTTTCTCCCCCCCCATTTTAATAGTATTTGTAAGAACCCATTTGGAGACCTGGTTTGCTAAGCTTAAATTCAAATTAAGAGTGCTAGATACACGAAACTCGAAATGTATTTTCTCGTATAGTATATACAGATAAAGAATATTTTACTTTTTTAATACCTCCCCTTTCCTTCAGAATTTGGCATAAACTTATTTTTAAAAGTATAGTGGTATGCTTTGGTATATATACTCATTTGTAAACCATATTTATGTCCTAAGAATGTCTTAAAAACCTATAAACACCGAAATTAAAGGTGGATGCATTTCGCATATGCTTATAGCGTGGGGCAAAAGGTAGAAGTAGCATAACCGCTGATCTTTCTTGTTTATATGTGCGTTTTTGTGTATGTATGTCTGAAGAATTGTTGTATTCGCGTACAGAATATTCTTACTTGTTATAGAATATCTATGTCCAAAAATTGGAAAACTTTCTTTCCTTATATAATCGATAAGCCAGATGAGCCGAACGACGAACTGAATAATCAAGATGAGCCGGACGTCGAGCGAAGATTTTTTTGCTTTTACTCACATACTTGCATTCCATTTTAATGCCCTGAATTATGATCAAGATGGGACAATACTCACCGGGGGTAATTAAAAACCCCTATCCCAAAATGCTGAGTAACGAAGCACAGATGCTTCAGAAAGTGCGCAGTTCGCGAAGTGCTTATGTATGGCTGTGTGAATATGTGTGGTATTTCCTAATAGTAATATTATTGTGTGGTATAGTTATAAGGTTGGGGTTAAGGAAGGAAGATGTGCAGTCATTGAGTGAATTGCGCGGATTGTGACGTGCATACGTGTGTGTGGACGTCCCCGATTTGGACTTAAGCTCGTGACCTATCAAATTCTATCTTCTATACGCCGACGACTACATACCACAAGTAAGGCAGAAAACCAAGTATTATTCGAACGATTCTCCTTGCAGATGCGAGCTTCTCTTACCACAACTGAAGAAATAATTTGCATAGACACAGGCAAACGGTCAGCAGATAATGGCTGTATCGACTGCAGTTGATAATAATAAAGAAAACATCGCTCATATTAATTGAGTATCAGCTTGTAGAAAAAAATGTATACTATCATGAGATATATACAAGATATCAATGCGGACTTATTAGCCAACATAAAACATGATATAACGAATAATTAAGACAACATTTGCGTTTTGTGGCTTTTGATAGTCTTTAAGAAACGCCATTTTTTATATATATTTCGTGGGAAAATTACAATACCCTCTGCAATATGAATGTCTATATGGTTGCCCAGTTTTAATTTTAACATTTTCTTAAGCAACTTCGCTTTTTTAACGATTGGGGCAATCGATTTTTTTTATCTGTTAAATAAAGTTAAAATGGCAATAACCCATCGATTACCTATGTATATGACAAGAATGGATTGCCTAGCTCTTTTAATTTATAATATAAATATACAAAACACGTGAGGTTATGAATATTTTTATCGGCTAATCGGCAAAGAACACATACATATATAGATATATACCTTATTTAACTGGGCATTGTTTATATGTACATTTGCACGACATCCTTTTTCACTCATATTTGCTCGAGCTATGAGGTCGCCTCAAGTTAATTACCTGTAACCAGACCCGAGTTGCTGCAACATTAATTTTCATTAAAACAAAATACAGAATAATTCAAATATACTTACCTTAGCCCCAATAGCTACTGGTAGATTTTCCGAGAAGTGTGAAACACCTCAAAAACTAATTTTCATTGAAATCTTTTTTAATGCGATGCATTGAAAATAAGTTTAAAATCTGCCGGATACCGGATTCTTACAACCGGTATGCATACATATATGTATGTTAAAAATCCCTTTAAACATTATGTAAAATTTTCGGGTTTCTAATTCTTTGTGCTGTGCGTTGATCGCCAATCAGTGAGTCACAGTTTTATATACATGTGTATGCATGTACATACGTACACACCTATGCGGGTAACTAGTTCTTACAATCCCTGAGATATGATTAAAGCCCTATGGTGAACAATTTATGTAGACCGATATGGGACGCTATTGATAAGGAGATTAACATGTTCTGCGCATAATGAACTACAAAATACGGTCAGACGACGGACTAACTTGATCGACTTGGCTCGTCGTCCTATTTTACAATTTGTACATATATACTTGATCGGTTCGGAGATGTTGCTTTCTGCCTTCACACATACACTTGCATAAAACTACTGTCTCTTTCAGCCGTTTTCAAAAGTTACACGATATCATTACTGGATATCTTACAAATTTATGACTTAAAATTGACTAAAAATTAAAATAAAGCAAATCCAAACAGCAGCCGTCCATTTTTCCAGCTTAATTCAAACAACTTGAAAGTTGGAACTAAAAACTTACTTATGTCTAATATGTTTATGTTAGAAATTATAAGTCGGCAATAAAAAAGTTATAATAACGCAGTAGGAGTCTCCCGAATACACTGTAACACGGACATAAACTAACGCATTTTATTGTGTTTGGAGTATGCTGTTCCCTTCATGATGAAACTCTTCAAAACTCTAATTTTTAGACTATGATTAAGAATTGTAGGTCATAAGGGTTTTGCAATATTAGAGCG